TATATTTGAGGTTGACAGAGCAAGAAACAATAACGTAAAAAAACAAACAAATTGTGAAAGCCTCTGTTTTATGGTCATGTTGGCTTATGTTTTTGTAAACCTTCTTCTTTGTATGTTGTATGTGTGTGTGTGTGAGTGTGTGTGTGTGTGTGTGTGTGTGTGTGTGTGTGTGTGTGTGTGTGTGTGTGTGTGTGTGTCTGTTAGTGCCCTTGGCAAGAGCAGGAGATCTGGCCATTCAGAATGGACAGTAGTTAGCCACCCACCGGAGCAAGCTGTTACCATTTCCTTTTCCCCTCCTCCCATCCTCCCCTTCTCCCCCTTCCTCTTGCCCTTTCCATTTCTTTTTCACTGTTCTCTTACATTTTACTAAACCACATACATTTAAAAGAACAAACATATTGTGATTCACTTTTACGTTTACATTTGAATGCTCTAGACTGATTGGCAAATTAGAATTTAGCAAATAAATAAAAAACATGCTCCCCTACCGAGCACTAGTATACTTTAGCAAGTTGCTAACATTTCAGACAAAGCAATTTTTTTATTTTTTTACAAAAGTGACTATTTGTGTATGGTTCATTTCCTGAACCAAACACATGGAATTTAGTGGGTTTGCACCGTTTGCACTCTATAAGGTGGAGCTTTATTCAAACAAAAACAAAGGGTGCCTCTATGTGGGTTGCTTCAGCTAACGATCCGTACAGTAAGCCCAGTTTGAAAAAAGATATCTATGACTTTGCAAGACTCCAATAACACTGGCGAGACAACACGTCATCATGTCGTCATTGTGGCAATAATTGTATCTTTCTTATGTCAATCATCAGGTAATGAGTAGAAATATATCATAAGAGTTACAGAGTAATATATGCGTGCATGTATTTGATTGGCCAAGGCAAAACTTTGCTGGATGATGCAAAAGTAGAGCTTCAACTTTCTTGTGGGACAAACTGGATTCGCCTCTGCGTCATCCCCGACCTGGCCTCATTAAAATAAATTGGGCGGTGTTTTTCAGGACTGTTGTCCGTCTGGAGGCGGCGTAAACATAATCTTGCGAAGTAAAGCACTGAGAGAACATGCATGCTCTGTGAACTATCACCATAAATTAAATGCTCACTGGTACCACTGTCAGAGAAATGTGTGTATAAATCAAAGACAAAAGACAGGTGTCAAAACTGGAAGCCTGGTTTTAATTGATATTGCTCTACTGTAATAATCCTGAAAGGCATAGTCTGGAGTAACACATGTAATGTTTCAACCCATAGTAGTATAAGTTACAGAATCATAGGTCTCTCTTTTTGCATTGAACAATATATACAATGTGAAATAAATACATTTACACAAATGGACATTATTGTTGGAGCACACTTGTATGATACACGTCACAAAAATATACAGGTTATTGTTTCTTTTTTTTTTCTTCTTTTTTTCATTTACTGATGTGAAGCACATCTAAAATCTACAGACATTTTTTTTAATAACACTACAGGGTCGTCTCTCGTACACAACTCTTCTCCACAAAGCCGGTCTTTTTTAAATATCCTTTGAATCCAAATGTGTCATTGTTCTCTTTCCCTTTAATACTTTCTTCACATTTGCAAATTCAGACTGCAGGGGTGTCTGCAGCACGAAGGGGCAGTTACATCTGGGGATTAAACACAACTAAATGACTAAACACTGCTGTAGCTAGACACAGTTTGGCCTTAGCAGATTTCAGGGGCAGCCATGGTAGATGGACAATCCTGCGTTGTCCCTATGCCTAAAAAAACTCCCTCTGTTCCAGTTAAACTATTGTTACATTGAGTATTTGCAGCTAATGGATCTAAGTTCCAGATGCGGGCGATAAGATGGCGCCCAAAGTGCAACCAGGTCAAACTCTTTCTATCGATGGCTCTGCAAAAACCCGCACAGTCCTTCTTCCAACGCTCCTCATAGAAAACACCAGTTTGGTTTGTTGTCGTTTATATGGTTTGAACCTTAACCGCTGAATAATTGAATAGCAAACAGCATTTAGATGTATAACACAAAACACAAAAAGTGCAATCATGTCTCGTCATTGCACAGTTATCAAAATATTGCTTTTAAACTAGAAAAAAAGTGTTGTATGAAAACACTTGCGTCTTGTATATCTAAACAATATATTGGCTATGAGCAGCAAGTTCTAGCAAGCCCTTGGAAAGAATCACACAATCTCCCTCCGGATTTTAGCAGCTAGATGTATTCTTTTTTAACCAGCAAAACAAAGGAAGACCAATTCCTGTCAGGACCATCATTTTCAATGAATTACTTAACTGACAAGGATAATTCGATTTTTAAGTTAATTAAAAAGAACAAATATATACATATCTATATTTGCAGTTGATTCCTTTGAAAACATGAATTATAACCAATTCTAACTTTTATTCTAACTAATAAATAAGGAGAGGTGTGTGACATCTTTCATCGCATTAAATTGTTCAGAAGTACACAGGATAGGTTAGACAACTGACAAATCATTAAAAACAGTAACAGAGGAGAAACAATAGTAAGAAAAGAGCACCTTTCTTTCATAAGTTGTGTGTAGGTTAATGTACAGTGGATGATAATAAGAAACCCCATCTTTCTGACAATGACATGGTGTTTTAAGTTACAGTGAAAACAGGAAAATATATTTAAATAACCTGTGAAATTATTTCAATGCATATTTCTTCCCTAAAACCATTATATGTTAATGTTTAAGAATTGTGACGGGTCCTAGAGTCTTTGAATAAATGCCATTTGTAGCGCATAATTGATACATGTGTATAAAGAGGTACAATGAGAATATCAACATGTTCATTAAAGGAGACTTTAGTTTAGATCTTGACTTTGTGAGTCCTGGGCTAAAGCAGAAATGCGTCCCAAAAATGTAATGAGTGACTATTTCCCATCAACACACAAAGTAGTTAAAGTCTTATTGTTGACATGTCTGTTACTCTCTATTGTCAAACAAGGTATTTTCCACTAAATGAGCGAAAACCGGACACAACAATGGGGAGGAGACGTTTTACGTCTTCATATTATCTCTTTTTGACTGCTGAAACTGTAAAGATGACGAGCTGTATGGAAGGCAGGTATGTACAGCGAGTTTATAAAAAAAGAGTCACCTACAGATCTGAAATTACTCAAATGTCCTTTTCATTTCATCGTTATTTAAACCTAAAGATATACAGTATACTGCTTATTCTACAGGAAAGTTACACAAATGATCCCTCTTTAAATACTTGTATGGTGTTTCTTCATTTAGATACTAAATATTGAATTATGTATAGTTTGGTAAAGATGAATACTGTAGTTTGATCTGGGTGGTCTAGTTAAATGAAGAAGAGCCTTGTATCCGGTTCATTGAGAGAGAACCCAGTGTCCGACAGACAGACAGACAACATGGCCTCTGCTCTACCCCGTGTAGTCTGAAGAAGAAGAAGAAGAACACGGCACACGAACGGGAATCACCACAAGACAAAGTACACAGCAACGCCTTAGAGGACTCGTCAAAGGAGGAAAAGATCGAACAGAAAGACTTTAAAACAAAAAAACGGATAGAAACTAAAGAAACAGGTTTTTTTCTTAATAGAAAAAACAACCAACATGGAACACACATCGAGGCTGAACTACATTTTTTTTCTTTTTTCTCGATTTTGTTTCCAATAAAATGTCTTATGTTAGAATTATAATCTGTATAATTTACAATATACAATGTTTAAGAAGGCTGAGAAAATACCCCTTACTAATAATACTGATGTTTGATACAGAGCGTGTGATGTTAGAGATCAACTACACCTAAACTGCAGCACTCCTCAGCTGTGACAAGTCGCCATTTTATATTAGATTACACTGTCGTCTACATTACACATTTTGGCATTCTTATTCGGCTTTAAAAATGACATTTAAAAAAAATCCCTGGACTGTCTTCACCTGTTTAAGGTGTGATCAGTCAGCCATACAATCTTGCTTTAACGATGAAATCAATGATTCTTCACTTGACTGTAAAATGTCACTCAGATTCCTGTAAGCTCAGCTTTCCATCTCTTGCCAATAAACCCTGCACTTAAATTTAACCGGCCATTTTTGACTTGAAAAATGCCTGGAAAATCTCTTTAAAAAATGACAATTTAAAAGTTCAATTATTTAATTGAATCAACTTCCCTAAAAATTATATTTGATGAGACTTGAAATACACATAGCGTTGTACATATTTAGTACAAGTAGACAAGCTTAAAATCAAATGTATGAGTATCAGTCATATCTTTATAATTCCCTTGTATAATTTACTCTAAAGATTACCTATAATTAATTCCATCAATTTCTACTATATTTGGTAGGATCATTGGTTTTAAGATGTTGTCATAGATGCTTATAAACAACAACAAGTGCAATAGCGATCTTTTGTTTGCAGCACTGTTTCCCTCAGCACAGATTCAGGTTATTCTGAAGGTCCCCACACTCGGCCACGTGGCTAAATAAACATACGCATTGAGGACAAAAACTATGTTTGACTGAACAGCTGATTTCAAATAAATAACTGTCTAGTTTAATTAGATTTAAAGTGACAGAGCATGGTCACAACAAAGGTGCAACTTGGGGTCATGTTAGTCTTTAGCTGCTTGTGTTAGTTCTTCAGCCAAACATGCGTTGTTCACATGGCTTTTTCGGTGACGGCAGCGTTAGCATCTCATCCTCACATTTCTGGTCCATATTTATTCGTGTCTAGCTTCCTCTTACAAATAAAATATTGACTGTTATCTAATAGCGTATGGCAAGTGACAGAGAGAGAATGAGAAGCTACAAACTGCCCTCTGACCCCCATCCTCTCTCTTTCCCGAGTTTAAGACTGGCACATTATGTTAATATTGCAGACTTAGTCCATATGCACAAACCCCTCCTTTAAAAACCACTATTGCTCAGAGTTTTCTAAGATAAACGCTGATTTGTTAATACATTATTACTTGTTATATTTATATATATATATATATGATAATTGCTGAAAGTGGTCAAGCTGATAGAAAAAAGGAAAGACATATTGATTGATTCAGTTTTAAGAAGACAATATTAATAACAAAAACAAAGCCGTGTTATATGTCATATACAGGATGACAATTATTTACAACCCTAGTACTGGTTTCATCGCTAAGATTATTTTCAAGATAGAAATAAACAAAATAAATAAGAGTTTGAAAGCAACAATAGTTGTTCTTCAGTAGTCAGTTTTGTCAGCACACCTTTCCTTCTGGTTTGTATTGTGTTGAGTGACTGAAGCGCCCCTGCAATCTCCGAATGAACGACAGAAATATCTTCTGACGCAGGAGGAGAGCTGGAGGTTGTGAATGCAGCGGAGAGAGAGGGAAGTTCTGCAGTGACACTTTGAGGTTTTTGGAGTTTGGGTAATGAGCACGGACTGGAGTAATCTTAATGGCACGATGACAGACTGAAATCTCTACTGACTTGTGTGGAGAGCTACAAACCGGAACCATTGAGCGCTGAAAGCTTTCACAAAGACATCAGAACACAAGAGGAGGGTCTGACCGAATAAATACAGAGAATGTAGACCGGGCCTACAACTACCAGTTGGACAAGCAGGAATCCGTTAGATCAAGTCTTATTTTGTTAATATTTTTGAATTATAAACTCAGGTGGTTTCAATATTTGGAAACATTTTCAGCTTGTCAAGTGTGCAAACACTATCTTTATGGTTATACTGACAGGTTTTGGAGGCCGGGATCCTAATAAAAGTAAAGTTGAAGTTGGGGAGACCCGGGAAGCCAGGATCTGAATTTAGGGAGAACCAGAGAGTGTTGACAGCAGTGGTTTCTAATCCTGGCCCTGGCTCTGCTGGTTTTTATGACAACCAGAAACATTTGAATGGTGAAACTGAAAACCAGCAGCACCAGAAGCAACCGGTAGTTTAACCAGAAACAGTTTTGAGTTGTGACAAAGTTTGCTGGCATCCTCTGAATGGGTGAGCTCCATTCTTTGGCAGGGCAAATCTCCTCTTCTTTTCTTTCTGTCCATCCATCCACATTTCATTGTACAAGTACTTTTTACAACACATGTCATTAAATACTGCTTCAGTGTTCTTTTTTTCTCCTCTTGTTTTCTTCTAGAACACTTAAAAAAACTCTGTTGGGGGAAATAGGGAGGGAAAGGAGACACGAGTGCAGTCTTAGAGTCTCTCAGAACTGAAAGAGTTTCAGTCAGTTTTTAAATGTGTCCTCATTCAAGCGTTCGTCTTTAATAACATCTTAATTGTTATTTAATGCATCAGTTTTGCTCTCTTCAATGTTCACTGTCGAGTGATCGATAAGAGTTTTAAAAGGAAATATCTTCTTTCCTTCGTCATATGGGGGTCAAGTCAGTCCGTCAGCATCTTCCCCAAAACAAAAAGGTCAAGTGAGCGCCCTTCGTCAAAGACCGTGGAGGTTCAGGTGAGAGGTTTCGGTTACTCGTTTCTTCATATGGGGACGTGTCAGCAGACAAACTTAAGGGACATATGTTTGTGTCTGGGTGCGTGTGTGTTAGAGTGTGTGCGTGTTAAAGAGCAAGAGGTCATTCAGAGTGAGATTCAGACTGGCTGTCCTTCCATCCTCAGACCTTGGCTTCCAGCAGCTCCAGGAACAGTTTGTGCATTGGGACTTTGCCGTCCTGCTTGATGCTGTAGAAGTGTTGCACGGCCTTGGTGGAGGTCTGGCGGAGCAGGGGGAGGGTCATGAGCAGCTTGCCCGCCCGGCGGGGGTCCTCCTGGTGCTGGGCGGCCTCGTAGTCCTGCAGGGCCTCGTGGAGCACATCCTGGAGCTTCTGCACTGCGTCCACGTCTTCGATGTGCATGGAGTCTGGAGGGAAAAGAAGACGAATACGCCATTACACATTTAAAGTGGACACAAATATATTTGATAAGGCATGTTTTATATCCCACAGATGTTTTGATAGATCAAAAAAAGGGAAAAAGCAGGTTGTGGTTAGTTGTATTTATTATTAGAACATTATAACATTTGAAAATGTATTTAATATAAGCCTCAGCCCTCCCAGTGTGCAGTGAAGTCTTTGGCTGACATAACTTTTTTTTTTTTGGGATTAGATTAGATTCAATTTATTGTCATTACGTAGTACAGGTATCATGTAACGAAAAGGTTTCTCTGCATTTGACCCATCCTAGTGTTAGGAGCAGTGGGCTGCCATTATGTACAGCGCCCGGGAAGCAGTGTAGGGAACGGTGCCTTGCTCAGGGACACCTCGGTAGCACTTGGTCTTGCCGGGACTTGAACTGGTGACCTTCCAGATGCCAAGCCAAGTCCCTATCGACTTTGCCACCACCACCCTGCTTATGCTTTGAATGCTTATGTTTGCTTATGTTTTGAATTTTCCAGCAATAAATGCAGGCTTGCTTGCAGTGCCGAAAGCTCAGTGCTAGAAAGGGGAGAGGGGGCTAAAGATCCAATCCAATACCCAAACAGGCTCAATGCCACATGCTCATTGGTGGATATTGTTTAAGGCGTACTAAACTGTGACATTTGTATGTATAAAAAAGTGCAAAACACTTCAATTGCAATCAAATATAGACCATCAGTATCTATTTCTGCAGACAAAATAAGTCTCTAAAAGTATAATGATGAATGTAGTACATTAAACTAAACACTCTTTAGTTCAAAATGTCATTACACTTTACATTTTATAGTAAAAACTAAAGCCAGAAAAAGGGCTTTAAAATCAGTCGCTGCCTCTTTCTCTGTCTTTAAAGTGTGGATTTGTGGGTGTGATGAATGGACACACAGCGAGACGAGTGGGCGGAGAAGAAAGAGATAGACTTGTGGAATGATGGAGAGACGCACTAACAGAGAGTGTGTGTGTGTGTGTGTGTGTGTGTGTGTGTGTGTGTGTGTGTGTGTGTGTGTGTGTGTGTGTGTGTGTGTGTGTGTGTGTGTGTGTGTGTGTGGATAAGCATTTGCCTGCACACATCTGTAATCTCTCTTTGAGCTGGCACGTAAGGTGCGTCTCAGCACAAGTGGCAGTAAAGGCTGAGAATGTCCCTCAATAATAATGCTCCATATTGCCCCTTAGGGAGGCAAAGTCTTAATGTGAGTTGGCCTTTAGCTCCCAACCTCCGATCAATGTCTCCGATCAATGACTACATGCATGTTAAATAATAATCACAAGGAAACTATTGATAGGCCGCCACGCCCCAACACACACACTTACACACACAAACCAGATCTGCAGAGAGGGTGAGACCGATGAGTGCATGAAGACACCTTAAAACAATGCTATGGTGCTTCTCAGAGCGCACGCTATGCATGTGTGCTGGGTTGACACATACCTACACATTAAAAAAACCAAGGCAAAGAATCTATGAAAACATGCATAATATCAAACATAAACCGAAAAATGGTTTTGTTCAGATCCAATCAATTCAACATAAAATGTGTGAACACACACACAAAGAAATGCACACTTACTCGTGCACAAACACAATCACATGTGTTGGACCTATAGAGCGTAATGTATCAGTATGCAGGAGCAGACCAGTCACTGTGTTGGATTCTTTAGGGATCAATAGAAAACTCAGCTTCTATCTGTTCTCCGAGGTTTTACTTTTTCCCCAGTTTAAATAGTGAGTGGTCCTTTTTTTCATATAATAGAAAGCAATAGGGAAAATGTATTTATTAAGGTTAATAAGGATGGTTGTTATTTCCGTTGATTAAACAAATATAATTGAAAAACCAGAGTTTTTAAGATCTCTTTTTTGTCCTTTTCCCTTTTTGTTAATATATTTGTATGAGAACATCTGCAGGCTCTATATTTAGCCATTTATCATACATCATAGATTTGCTTTTATTAAAGAAATATTTATATACATATATTATATAAAAGTATATTACGCAAAGTGAAACAATCCATGATAAAGTGCCTAATGTACCAATTAAAAGTATTACTGTTTATCTCAATTAAAACAATCTCCTTTCTTATTAATCTGGATTTGAATAAGTGGTTACCTGAATTACAGCCTATAATAGCAGTAAGTTTAAATGAAGTTTAATGAGTTTCACATTGTTTTTGATTAATGCTGTGTGCTAAGTATTTAAGCTGGTAGACATGGCTGCTGCCTGTGCTCTGACCCGCAGTACACTCACAAGTAAAACAGCAGACGTTAATGAGCACGAGCACATAAGGCTGTTAAAACACACATGTTAACACAGAACCCACAATGCACACACACACATGTAAATGAATGCACAGACACACACAACACACAAAGACACACACACGTGCCTCTTGTTTCCCATGGCTAGTTTAGCTGTCTTTACATGTGGGGCACGTTTGCTAACATTTCTTAAGGCTTGGCTTCATTAATGCAGACGATTAGCATCCTGTGAATTAATTAGTGTCAGTGCCCTTCAAAATGCTAATGCTAGCATTCTGTTGTCTTGAAGAGCAGTTAGAGAGTCTAGGCGATGAAGCAAAGTTCTTATTTGGGCGTCAGCTGTTTATGTTGCCTTCAGTTAAAGGAACGACTAGTTCAAATGTGAGTTTTCTCCATAGTGACTTCATTATTTTAATAGATAAATCCTCCCTGAAATTATCTGGATATTTTTTTAATTGCATGTTCCACAGGCAAAGGATTTGAGCTTTTAACAGCATGCAATGTTTCTGTCTACAGAATAGAAAATACTCTATTTGATATTTACTCAATTAGTCGTCTATCTTTCCAGCTCTTCAATTGCCTTGAACTTGACAGCAGACCTGGATTCAAGAGCCTACACCATCAGTTGATTTAGAGATTATTGTCTCTACATTTAACAATTAACAAGAAAATATTCTCTGATTTCAGCTTCTGAGTTGGTGTTTTTATAAATTGTATATCTTTGGGAAGCTACATTTCCTCAGTGTTTGATTTCAATCAGACAAAATGAGCAATTCCTAAGTGCTGTTGGGAAATGTTACGGACCAGAATATTCATAACCATCAACACGACCATCAACACTGTGTCTAGCCGGCAGAACCAGCCAGAATTCTCACATTTCATAGACCAATACACACACACACACACACACACACACACACACACACACACACACACACACACACACACACACACACACACACACACACACACACACACACACAGCCAAGAGATTGATTGTCACATAGCCCACAGGAAAACAACATGTCAATATCTTCTGCATGTGCATGACAGTATGTGCTCTATGCGTGTGGCAAATCATTGTTCAGTGGCTCACATTTAAGTATGCACTAATGTTTTATGTTTGAATATGTGTTTATGCATGAGTCAGAGAGACGAAATTGGCATATTTGAGAAAAAGTTCTGAATTTGTTTGTCTGCCTCATGTGTCTGTGTTGATGTTGGTGGCAGAATCAGAACAAAAGGCCCCTCCCGTCCTATTCAAAGCTCTCGCATTGCATTCTCCCATTTAAACACATTGTATTGACAGCTCCCCCCTTGTAATTAAAGAGTACTGAAGAGCTGGCCGGCTTCCAAGACAAAGTTCAAAAGACGGGTCATGGGAGGAAGAAGGCGTGTGTGTGTGAGAGTGTGTGTGTGTGCGCGTGTGTCAGTCAGCTGTCGATGCAGCTGGACACATCAGAGAGGGGGCTTTATCGACAGACTTTGGGTTCTAATGATTTTAGCTTATTTAACAGGCATCTGAAGAGACGACTATGCTAATTGTAAAAGGGATCGCCACTTTGTTCGGGGGTGGGAGGTGGGCTTCTGGTTGAAGACGTGTGTGTGTGTGTGTGTGTGTGTGTGTGTGTGTGTGTGTGTGTGTGTGTGTGTGTGTGTGTGTGTGTGTGTGTGTGTGTGTTAGTAGTAGTAGTAGTAGTAGTAGTAGTAGTAGTAGTAGTAGTATTAGTAGTAGTAGTAGTAGTAGTAGTAGTAGTAGTAGTAGTAGTAGTAGTAGTAGTAGTAGTAGTAGTAGTAGTAGTAGTAGTAGTAGTAGTAGTAGTAGTAGTAGTAGTAGTAGTAGTACACACACACACACACACACACACACGTA